ATGGAGTGATCAAAATCCTGCTTGTGGTTTTGATGTTCGGCTCTTCAATGGCTCCATGGGGGCCGCCATCTTGAATTTCCGCTTGTCTTTTTACATATAACTCTTCAGTGGCTCCTTGGGGGCTACCATTTTGAATTTCTGCTTGTCATTTTTTTACGTACAGCTCTTTAATGCTTCCATGGTGGCCGCCATCTTGAATTTCTGTTTGTTTTTTTACATTCGGCTCGTCAATGGCTTCAGTGTGGTCGCCATCTTGAGTTTTTGCTCTCTCTTTCTTCAGTGGCTACAAGGTGGCCACCATCTTGAATTTTTGGACCACACCTCCATCTCACAGACCAGACTGAGTCTGAGGAAGGGGTCAAACGTGTCATTAAGTCTTGAGTCCCTTCACACCCGCAAGAGACCTAAATCTAGCCCGCCTTGAATTCAACTGACTTCTTATCTCCCACTAATTTCCCTTGACTGTTAGTAGTTCAGATTCTTGTAGAGAGCTTAAGCTTGTGATAAAACCTTTATATTCATTCATTTGAGCTGCCTGGATTTCCGGATTTCCTCAGTTCTTCAGGGTTTTCCCACACAACTCAAGCCCGAAATAAGTTTGCGGCATGCCTCGTTGATCACCACACCAGTTTTCATGAACATGAATGGATCCTGCCAACCGAATAGCCACTCCAAGGCCTAGATGATGTTTGTCTTGAATTCAACTTGGGTTTTCCTTTTGCTTTTTTTTTATTTAGGTGTGGACTCACAAATGGCTAGACTTATCCGAGCACGGCTTTGGGGTTGCCTTGTTGAACGACTGCAAATATGGCTGCTCAGTCCACGACAATGTGATGAGCCTCTCCCTGTGAGTTTTGGCGGATGGCAGGAATTCCTGGGTTATGGCAGAAGTGATTTGGGGGATGACTTTGGCCTTGCCTTCTTGGGTTATATATTTTTAAAAAACTTTTGTCTTTGTGTTCCTGTCGACTGGTTGATATTTTGTAGAGTTTTCATGGGGCCTAGCAACTTCAAGTTGCATTTAATGCATTAGAAGGATAGGATATAATTCACGTCAACGTTGGCTATTTGGATCATTAACAACAAAAGCATGTGATGTGAATGAGTGGATAAGACAAATTTTGATTCCCATGAAGGTTACGTGCTCCAAAGTCCCCTGATGCTACTGCAGATATTGGAAGTCACCAGTTTACCTATGCTGTGATGCCTCACCTGGGTAAGCAACACCTGAGAACCTGATCTTGGCAGACTGCTCTTCTCCTCCTCCTCCTCCTCTTCCCTCCTTTCTGTTCTTCACATCTCTTTTTTTCTCCTCTCTCATCTGCTTCTTTTTCTTCCTCCCTCTTCCCTCCCCCAATCTATTTATCCTTCCTCCCTTCCTCCTTTCCTCCCTTCTTCCCTCTCTCCTATCTCCTTCCTTCGTCTCTCCTCTTTTTCTTCTCCCTCTTTTCTTTCTCCCTTCTCTATTTATCCTCCCTCCCCTCTCTCCTTCCCTTCCTTTCCTTTCCTCTCCCTCCCCATCCCCTTCCTTCCTTCCTTCCTTCCTTCCTTCCTTCCTTCATTCATTCCCTCCCTCCCTCCCTCCCACCCACCCATCCCTGGATTATTAGTTTCTGCAAATCGGTTACTAATTTTATTTTTCCTAAATCATACCATTTGCACAGATGTTAGGCCAATGGGAAGATTGGCAGAAGGAATGGGAAGACATTAGGAAGACCAGAGGGGAAACAATACCTCCCAAGTGATGGTGGCCTACTTTAAATAACAGCCCTGACTGTACAGCTTTGTCATCCACAGGTTCTTTCCAAGAAGCTGGCGTAATCCAGCAGGCCTACAGCTTGAATTTTCCTCTTCATGTCCTGGAAGGCGCTCCTCTTGGGCCGTGTCCAGTCTGGAGTGCCTTTTCTGTCCAGTCTCCAGCTGTTGTCCTTGAAACAATAAAGCAGGTAAGGGGCCAAAGAAAAATGCAACCATTAAACTCAATTCATCTGGGCATGCTTCCTGTCTGGACCGCCTCGCAAGGTTGATATTTGTCTTGCAAGCCTTCTCTCCCCTCTTGCTTTTTCAATCCAAGAAATGAGGGACGTGGTGTGGCCCGCCAGTAGATCTAGCAGCAGATTTGTACAGTGAGGAGGTTGGGGAGGAACATGAGCCAGTCCTGGAGTCTGGGGAAGGCTCTGCATCGGAGGCAGAGATGGGTCCAGGACCGTCCGACAGTTATCAGCTGCCTTCGGAGTCAGAGATCAGTGAGGCAGAAGAACAGCTGGAGCCTGTTCCCAGTGTGTGCATGCACAGAACTGCCAGAAGAAGGGAACATCTAAGGAACAAGGAGTGACTTGGGAGTAAAGCCACAGGTGACAGTGAATGGCCCCCTCCCCTAGCGGGTAAAAGAAGAGCGAAAGGGAGGTGGGGTTTTGCAGGCGACAATTCGTTCATTGGGGTGAAAATCTGTTCCTGCATTCTTGCCAAGTATCGTCTGCTACAGTGTGGCATCTGAAAGATATCGGCCTGGCAGCTCTCCAAGTCTGATAAAGTTCTGTAATTCTGTGAACTATCTTGAAAGACTGTTGCCCAGGACTTTGCTGGAGAGGAATTCACTGTAAACGAAATAAAAGGGGTTTTATCGGGCCGCTGAGTCGGTTTCGTGCTGTTGAGGAAGCCTAGGTCAGAACAGGAGGGTCCCCTTCTGAGACATTTGTGGGCCCTTCCCTCTCCCCCAGTTCCTTCTGTGGCTCAGCTGCTGCTGTCTATCAGCTTTGGAAGCCCTATTAGCATTTGGACCCCTGACACTGTCCTGATCATAGTCTAGTCCAAGGGTCTTCAAACTTGGCAGGTTTAAGACTGGTGGACTTCAACTCCCAGAATTCCTGAGCTAACATGACTGGAGGAGGAATTCTGGGAGTTGAAGTCCACCAGTCTTAAAGCTGTCAAGTTGGAAGACCCCTGATCTATCACTTATCACCTATCAACTCTCTCTCTCTCTCTCTCTCTATCTATCTATCACAAGGGTCTTCAAACTTGGCAAGTTTAAGACTTGTGGACTTCAAACTCCCAGAATTCCTGAGCTAACATGACTGGAGGAGGAATTCTGGGAGTTGAAGTCCACCAGTCTTAAACCTGCCAAGTTGGAAGACCCCTGATCTATCACTTATCACCTATCAACTCTCTCTCTCTATCTATCTATCATCTATCACAAGGGTCTTCAAACTTGGCAAGTTTAAGACTGGTGGACTTCAACTCCCAGACTTCCTGAGCTAACATGACAGGAGGAGGAATTCTGGGAGTTGAAATCCACCAGTCTTAAAGCTATCAAGTTTGCAAACCTTGGTCTAGTCTGTGTTTCTTCCTCCTGTTTCCCAAGGTTGTTCCCACGTACCATTCAAATGTATCACAAAACTAATGGGATTTGATGAGCTTACATGTTCAACTTGGAAGCCAGCTTAGCTTGACAGTCCTTTCTTCTGCTTTTGGCGAGCCTTTGGGAGAATCCTGTGCTCTTAGGTGAAGTTTCATCTCTGAGCTTCATCTCTGAGCTTCATCTCTGTCCCTAGCGGCGTCTCACAAGAGCGGGGCAGGAGTAGCTACGCGGAAGGAAAGAATCACGCTGAGCTAACCAGGGGATCTTTCTTGGTCTCTTTCCCCAGGCTGAGGATAGGCCAGACGCCTTGGTGGTCCGACTTTACGAGTCCTACGGCAGCACCGTTGACACCTGGCTCCAGATGGGCTTCCCCATTCAAGAGGCGGTCATGTGAGTGGGAAGGGGATGTCTTAATGGCGAACTTTTTCCCCCAGAAGCCCCTTCTCTGACACCATGACTGTCTTCTGCAGGTGTGACCTCCTTGAAAGACCTGATCCCAACACCTCCTTGGTTCTGGAAGAACATCGATTGAAGCTTTCCTTTTGGCCCTTCCAAATACTCTCTATCCTGCTGGTCTTGAGGGGACAGAGCAGGGACTGAGGCTTGCAACAGACTGCCCTTCTAAGGACTCCACCCCTGGAGCTTCTGTTGTTTGCCTAACACAGGTGAAGAGCACCAGGGACGGATTACAGGGATGGGCTAACAGGTAGTCCTCAATTTATGATCACAGTTGGGACTGGAGCTTTAGAGCCGCGGGGGCACATCGCCTAGAATGCAGCATTGTCAGCAGTTCGATCCTGACCATCTCAAGGTCGGCTCAGCCTTCCATCCTTCCGAGGCCGGTCAATTGAGGACCCAGATTGTAGTTGGGGGCAAGAGGCTGACTCTATAAACCGTGCAGAGAGTGCTGTAAGGCAGGGGTCTCCAACCTTAGCAACTTGTGGACTTCAACTCCCAGAGTTCCACACCTAGCTTTGTTGACTGAGGAATTGTGGGAGTTGAAATCCACAAGTCTTAAAAGTTGCTAAGGTCAGAGACCCCCTGCTGTAAAGCACTATGAGGTCTTAAGTGCTACTGCTATGCTGTAATTGAGTCAACTTTACAATGTTTTTTCCATAGTTAAGCAAATCAATCGTGTGGTCGTGGATCAAACCAGGTAATCATTAGGCGAATCTGTCTTCTCCCCCCCTCCCCCCAATTGACTGAGCTTGGAAGATCAAGAGATATGTCAAAAAATAATAATAATTAAAAGCAATTGTTGAATGAGTGAGTCGAGTTTGGGGGTCATTGTTTCAACGATCTGCCTTAGTGATTTTCTGACCTAGGAAAGCAACTTTTAAAGCAGGATATTTTTTTATTAGTATATAAAAAGATATGTAGGGTTCTTCAGTCGCTAATCTTGGATATATATATATTGCTGTAAAAGGAACGCAAAGCAAGTTTAAGATTAAATCTTAGTCATTCTCTGTCCGGAAGTTTTATTCAGAAAGTTCTCTGTGCTCCGCTGGGTTTTTTTTTTCCCCACAATAAAAAAGTTTTGAGAGGTGGCAACTATTCAAACTGCTGGATTCCTTTCTCTTCCACTCACTCAGAACGATGTGAAACCAAAGGCATTTTTTTCCCCTCCCAGGTGCAGGTTTTAAAAAGCAGCGTAAGTAACGTCCAAGAAATCTGTGCAACGCTAAGTTTAAACATTGGTAATTGAGGAAGCAGGAAAACATCGTTTCACGTTGTTCTCAGCTGTTCATCTTGGATCAGAATCTCTGCATTTATCTCCCTCTGCTGGAGCGTGAAGTTGGTAATCTTGGATCCCAAAGCTGCACTTTTATCTCCTCCGTTGGAGCAGGACGTTCCTGCCTGAAACTCACGAGCGTTCTTCAGTCGCTAATCTTGGATCCCAAAGCTGCATTTATCTCCTCCGCTAGAGCATGAAGAATTACCTGAAGCTTTTGCAAAGATATTTCTGTGTTGAGAAGGGTTAGGAAGCCTTCACCCGTTTGGATCTCGAGATGGCTGACGCCTTAGCTAAACAGAGAAAATTAATAAAGAGTCATATGATCTACTTGGTAGGCTGTCAGGGTTAGGGTTAGGCGGTCACCCCAATTAAATCATGAGTCTCGAGGCGAACTTCCAAAACTTAAGAAGGATTTATTGGGAGTTAACAATAAGGATTTATTGGAAGTTGTCCGGCACTGCCTGGGTGTACCCAACTCTGAGACACATAATTCATTTGTCACCCTTAACCCTGGTTTTCCCGCACCCCCTGGGTGTATCATCGTTCATATTCTCCAATGGGACACCTCCATAGCTCAGAGTCACCGGTCATGTCCTCCAGTTAGAATTTTGCACGGCGGAAACTTCAGTCACCTAGTTACTATCTTTGCAAAAATATTCATGGAATGCACTTTCAATTTCCAAGTGTCACACGGCTCTTTCAAACCCCCTTTCCCCCCCCACCTCCATTGGTAGCCCCCATAAATCCCAGATAGATCCCCTTTCTCACTTTGGTTTTTCTGAGCAGGTGTTCGCCTCTTCCGTGCCGGAGGTGGAGAACTTAGCAGCGAAGACTCTTGCAAATCAGAAGATGATTTCTGAGATCTGGTCTTCGGTCCTCTGGCTCTCTTGACCATACCCTCCTCCTCCTTTTTTTGTGTAACTCCATACTCTGGCTTAAGTTTCCTTCTTCCCTTAGCTTCTTTCTCAGCAGGACTGCTGGTTGAGTCGCTCCTTGGCTTGACAGCCTACAGAGATGGAGAAAGGTGCTCAGGGGAAAGCCAGTCTACCACTTGAATGAGATGGATTCTCATTGGACCAATGAGATCTCGGGGAAAGCCAATCTGCCACTTGAATGAGATGGGTTCTCATTGGACCAATGAGATCTCGGGGAAAGCCAATCTGCCACTTGAATGAGATGGATTCTCATTGGATCTCAGGCGGATCAAGAATTGATCGGGGGGCAGAAAAGGGGAACCTGCAGGTAACTGAATACGGCTCAGTTACAACAGCCAGACATTCACTAGTCCCCAAATTCATATTCTTTGAGGTTTCGGATTACCATAATGACATCAAAAATGAAACTCCAACGTAGTATAGGCAGTCCTCAACTTCCAACAGCTTGTTTAGTGACCGTTTAAAGTTAACAACGGCACCCCAAAAGGGATAGGACCAGGGGTGAGATTCAAATTGCTTAATAACAGGTTCTGTGAGCGTGGCCCAATTTGTGGGTGTGGCTTGATGATCATGTGACAGTGGGCGTGGCTTATATGTAAATATTATAAATATTTATGTAAATATTGATTTTATTTTTTAAAAAGAGCAACTTTTACCCAAAATCAGGCAAAGCAAGCAAGATTGAGTTGCTTCCAGAATCACAGAGTCACTCACAGATCTACCTTTCTGCAATCTGCTGCCTGAGTCAGTGGCGCGATTTGCCGGTTCTCCGAACTCTGCAGGATGGTAACAACCGGTTCTACAGAACTGGTCTGAACAGGAAGAATCCCACCCCTGGATAGGACTATTACCACTTCCCCACGGTCGCGCTGTCAGGGTTCCGGCGATCGCCCTAATTAAATCATGACCCTTGAGCCAAGCTTCAAAAAAAAATCCAAAAGATTTATTAGGAGCAACACGCTGGCATTAACCTAACTGAAGCCAAGTGTGGCATAAGTAATTTACAGTCCCCTGCGACCCTGTTTTCCCCCTTCCCACCAGGGTGTGTCATAAATCAGATTCTCCAATGAAGCACGTTCAGGGGCTGGGTGTCATCAATCACATTCTCCAATGAAGGATTTTCGGGCTGAAGAGAATGTACTTCTGGTTTTAAACTGCTATAATGTGCCTTCAGAGTCTCCATCCTCCCCTCCTCCACTTGTTTATGGCAACTTGAAAACAGGCAGAGGAATGTTGCCTGAGTTGACATGCACGGTCAAAATTCGGGTACTTGGCAACTGGTTCATATTTATGACAGTTGCAGAGTCCCTGGGTGTCCCCTTTTTGCAACCTTCTGCCCAGCCAACTCAAGGAGGAAGCCAGATTCACTTAGTTCAGGAGGTTTGATTAAAGACTGATTAAATTAACAGAAAAAACAACAACAGAATAACAGCGTTGGAAAGGATTTCGGAGGTTTTCTAATCCAATCCCTGCTTCAAGCAGAAAATCCTATACCATTTCAGAAAAACGGTTGTCCAATCTCTTCTCGTTTTTTTTTCCCCCTTTGAAACACATTTTACTTCTCATCCATGAAGCTTCTTCTCAAGAACTGAAGAAGCTTCTTGGATGAGAAGCGAAACCTCTTCAAAGAAAACACAAGGAAGTCCAATTGCCTCTTGAAAAAAAAGCACCTTTGGGTCTCGGGTAAATAATATCCCAAAACAGAAGAAAGAGACCATCCTTCTACCTTTGAACTCTGCACGGCTGGTTTAGACTTTGGTTGTATCTTCTTTTTCTGAGATTTCCCCCCTGGGATTAAAGACATCACACGCATATAATTAGATCAGTGCCATCTTAATTTCTTAATTAACTACCATGTTATTCTATGTTCCATGAATCAGGGCATGTGGGACTGATTGGGACAGATTGTAGGGGTGATATCCAAATATAATCTTATTTTATTTATATATTAACTTATTGAATTTCATTCTAATTTCATTTTAAGTCTTATTTTATTCCAATTACATTTTAAACTATATTTCATTCCAATGTCATTTTAAACTGTATTTCATTCCAATGTCATTTTAAATCATATTTTATTCCAATTTCATTTTAAACTGTATTTCATTCCAATTTCATTTTAAATC